GTTTTAATTGTTGCAAATAGAAGCTGTTATTTTAGTTTTGTCACTTCCTGTTTGGTATCAGTGTTCATGTATATTCGTACTGCATCTTTATTTTTCTCTAGGTAAATCCCATTTCACCCTTTTTCCCTTCCTCTCTGCAGATTGTCTGGTTGTATGGTCACAGAGCAAGGCTGCTCATCACTGGCTTCAGCTCTAAAATCAAACCCCTCACACCTGAAAGAACTAGATCTGACCTACAACTATCCAGGGGAGTCAGGAGTGAAGGTGCTTTCTGCTAAGTTGGAGGATCCACACTGTAGACTGACCACACTCAGGTATGTAAAACTGTGTGGAGCCAAATTTGTATTTGTTTCTGTGTGGTAAAGAAACCACAATCATATGCTTCTTGTATATTTCTAGAAAGGGTGTCTGTCATAACATAAATGCTTCAAAATGCAAGTTGTTAAGCAATTTCAAACAGACAGGCTTTCTGCAGAATTATAAAAAAGAAATTCAAAGATCAGCTAAAGCTATCCAACATCACCATCAACAGACATGATGGCTCAAGCAAGCATGTGTTTATGTGTTTGAGGGACACAGAAAAGGATTGGAGAAAAAAAAACAAAAGAGAAATGAATACATTTTAAAAATAGTGGACATATTAATGTAAAATGGTTTATGTTTGTGCTTCTTTCATCTCAAGGATGGATTATGCAGGGAAAATCAGAATGAAACCAGGGCTAAGAAAGTGTAAGTTTCATTTTGATCAGTGTAAAGTTTGCATACACACACAGACACACAGACACACACACACACATGCACACACAAATACAATTTGTTTTCTTGTCCTCTGTTCTAATCTACAGATGCCTGTGAGCTCACACTGGATCCAAACACAGTGCATGCACATCTTTCTCTGTCTGAGGGGAACAGAAAGGTGACATATGTGGAACAAAAGCAGTCATATCCTTACCATCCAGAGAGATTTGATGGTTGGGAGCAGGTGTTGTGTAAAGAGAGTCTGACTGGACGCTGTTACTGGGAGGCTAAATGGAATGGAACTGCTGAAATAGCAATGACATATAAAGGAATCAGTAGGAAAGGAGACAGTCCTGACACTGTGTATGGATGCAATGAAAAGTCATGGAGTCTGTACTGCTCTAATAACAGCTACTGTGTCATGCACAAAAAGAAGAGAACTGTCATGCCTGCCCCTGCCTCTTCCTCTAACAGAGTAGGAGTGTATCTGGACTGGTCAGTTGGCACTCTGTCCTTCTACAGCATCTCCACTGACACACACACACTGACACACTTACACACATTCAGCTCCACATTCACTGAACCGCTTTATGCAGGATTTTGGGTGTATTCTAACTCTTCAGTGCATTTGTGCGACACATGTCTCTGAGTCTTCAGGGAAACATATACTCTTCACATAGAATGAGCAGTCTAAGGAGGCTCATACTTTGGTACAGATCAGCGTCCAGTGGCTGGGAAGCAAGTCTGCTATTTCAATGTTAAATACCACTCTGTAAATACTAGTACTAGATAAAGTGAGTTGAATGAATCATGACTGTTCTATATACATAAACCCACACATAATTTATTTCACAAAAGACCTTGGAGAAAACAATAAAATAAAAGAAAAAATTATGGTATTGGGCCTTTAAAAAAACTTTACTCATTGCTATCCAACATGCCTACTTTTAAAGGTTATCAGTTGGCTGTTTCTACTGTTGAGCTGCACTTAATTTTTGCATATATGTAATATTTGCTGATCTACAAATTAAACTTTATGTACAGAAACACTATCTCATGTTTTTTTTCTCACTTTGTATCCTTTATGAATATATACAGTCAATTTACCAGCATTAAAACATCCAGGATATGAACAGTACTTTGATATTTTTTATAGCTTTCCTCTGTAGGCATTAATTAGTTTAATTAGATTCTGATTAATCAGATTCTAAACCAGCTGCTTAGATGTTATTGAATATTACCACAAGGTTTGAAGAGTCAGGGAACTTATTAATGGCAATTCTTGACCTGCCTAACCAGTCCTAATGTGTCAGTTAAGGCAAAAGAATTTAATTAAATTATAAGACGTTACAATTGTAGTGGTCTAGACTTTTGCACATGGCACAATTACAATTTAGTATGATTAAAGTAGTTTACTGCAGAGACTGACAACTTCTCTTGAGTTTAAAAATCAACAAAATATGTAATTTGACTAAGTGCTCAAACATTTGCACACAACCATATATTTCACAAAGAGAGACAGATCTTTATAGATATTGAAATGAACACAGCTGTTCATAGAGCTAGATTCATAGACAGGACGTTAGCAAACAATACCAAAGGTCAGTTAATGTGTTGTGCTGGTATACTACACTAGCACATTATGCTAATAGCAAATATCTTAGTTGATATTAACTCAATCAGCACAAGACTTTTTCATCACAGTTTGTCTACTATTACCTGAAGTAATTTTAAGCATGACTGTCAGTGAGTATTGGATTCAAAGACAGTGACATCCAGTGAAAGTATCTAGAGAAATGGACCAAAATGAACCAGTCAAAACTGTTGAAGCCAACAAGAAATATAAACTGGTATAAACATGAATGCTTCAATATGAAAACAGAAATGTAATAAAAAAATTAGAACATGGCTCTAAAAGTCCATATCTAAATTTAGTGTGGAAGTTTTCTGAGCTTTTGAGGAGACATTCATGCATCCATGCCCTGAGATTCTTGTTGATTAATGCCTGCTCTGAATGCATCCAACCAAAGTCAGGTAGATAAACAAAAACAGACTCATTGATCTGGTTGTAAGGTTCTTGAGTGCAAGACAGTGTGCATTTGTGATAGTTAAAAGAAAGAAAGTGCATAAAATATATGTATTAAAGCGGCATTTGGTCTTGGTCCACATCAGAGACTAAATTTGACAAGACCTATAGCAGAGACAAAGACCAAAATAAGTCCAGATGACATTGAATCCAAGACAAGTGATACAAGGGGTTCAATATATGCAAAGAAAATATTATGACAAATAAACGAGTATGATAAAAACATTCCTTACACCATTTAACCACCACCAACATTTTAACAATATTAAACTTTTCAGTCTTGGTCAGCATGTGCTTACTGTAGCCTTAGATTCCTGTTCTCAGCTGACAGGAGTGGAACCTGATGTGAGCTTCTGCTGTTGTAACTTATTCACCTCAGGGTTTGGTGTGCACTAATCTCGACAGTTCTAAAGAGCGGTTATTCAGATTTCTGTAGCCTTCCTGTTAACATGTTTGGTTATTTGACACTGACCTCTGTCATAAACAAGGTGTTTTTTCACATAGAATTCATCAGATGAGAACACAAACGATAAGTAGGCTACAATGCTCTCTTGCAAAAATGCAAAAACTTAAAAACAGTCAGTCTAAGAATGTTGAGGGATCCATGCCATTTGTCCATGCTCCTTGAATCACAAATGTGGACTGGCTACCAGAGGTGTATTTTCTTTGGTAGTTCACACATACTGTTTGTGTATTTTTTTCTGAAATGTCTTATATTGTTTGGGTGATCAGTTCCATTTGATTCGAATGTCCTATCAGTTGCAAACAAGGCGGGAGGAAAGTAGAAATGGATGTTCTTTTTCTTGATTTTTCTTGTATGTTTTCTAGAATTGATGCCCCTGCACAGTATATTTGTTCTGCATATCATAATTAAAATTCTGCTTGCACAATATACTTGTAACAAATTATGACATAAAGATGATTACACTTAATGTGAAGGGCTTTAACCAACGAAAACCAACATTATAAAGAAAAAATGATATATTTTAAGAAAAAAAAAAATTTCACAGAGATGGTACAAGAAATGGACATTTGTATATGCTACCTTTGAATATGCTACTTTTGAATATACTAACTTAAGTGTGATTGGGTAGGCCAAATGTATTTTTCTTGCTATTGAACTAACAAACATAAAAACATATAACACTGTCTATAAAAGTATCACATTTTTTCATGAACAAGATTCAGAAGGATGATATTTTAATTACAACACAGTCCTAAGGCATTGTATTACACTATAATGAATAATCATACTCTTAATTAAGGCTCACTATAGTTTATTTTAACATAGTTTTAATGTTTAATCAGTTCTGGCCCTGATTTCCTAACTGGGAATTTTACCTGTATAATTGATAAATTAGTCATCATATGCTCCATTGTGAAACCTTAAATCCTCTAAAGCCCAAAATAATAGTTTCACAGTTGGATATTTTCAGAAGATAATAGCATATTGAGGTCACCAAGTCTTCAAAACTAGTAAGATGCCATGTCCATGCAAAGAAAGTATTTGAAAGTAGGAATTATAGATTGTGTCTAGAGTGTGAAATATGCAGATGCATCAATAAAAATTCATCCCAACTGACATAATGTCATGCTGCATGAGTGGATACAATGACACCACTGACTCCTACTTTGCCATTTTGCCTAAGGTGTGCAGAATGAACATTGAAGGAAGATTTTACATGGTAGAGATCGGAGGTGGGGCAGTGTGTCCACTCATACTCTGGACACTCCCCCTTTCCATGCTCTGCATGTTCATGGACACTGTTCATGGACAAATTGACCTTTGCTGTGATCTGTGTTCAAAGCTCTCAATCACTGAATAAGCCACATGATTTCAAATGTCTCAAAATATCTTCCATAAAATATTGGGAACTTGACATAACACAATTGCACAATTGTCATAAAGATGTTTTACTGTTAAATTGGCTTGTGTTCCAAGTTAAATTGGTGTGGATATTACTTTTAGCTGCAGTTTTTCCATTCACTACAGTAAATAGGGATAGGAATACGTCAGCAATGTGTAGCTATAATGCAAATTTTAAAACTCCAACAAATCTTATTGCATAGGTCACTTCATGAATAATGCAAAATGGATCGATATAGTAAAATCATATAATTCAATGTGTAGAAGTATATTTTAACTGAAACGCCTCCACGAACACATAGAATGCTCTTATATTTCACAAATACATATAGATGAGTCAGAATCCCACACTCTAAACCCTGCATAGAGGGGTTCAGTGAATGTAGAGTGGAATGTGTGTAAGTGAGTCAAAGTGTGTGTGTCAGTGGAGACGCTGTAGAAGGACAGAGTGCCGGCCATCCAGTCCAGATACACTCCTACTCTGTTAGAGCTGGAGGAAGGGGCAGGTATGACAGTTCCCTTCATATTGTGCCTGGCAGAGTAACTGACATTAGAGCAGTCCAGACTCCAAGACGTTTTATTGTTTCCAAACACCCGGTCATTACTGCCGCCTTTCCTGCTGATTCCTTTATATGTCACAGCTATTACAGCACTCACACTCCACTTAGCCTCCCAGTAACAGCATCCACTTAGACTCTGTCTACATAGCACCTGTTCATATTCATCAAATCTCTCTGGGTGATCAGGGTATGGCTCCCGATGTCTTACACATGTCACCTTCCTGTTCTCCTGAGACAGAGAAAGACGTCTATGTGCTGTATTTGGGTCCAGTGTGAGCTTACAGGCATCTGCACACAAGACAAGAGATTAAAGGACAAGGACAAAGGACATTAACACACAAGAAGTTTGGAAGAGAGGATAGCAATATAAACTGCATATGAGTGAGTGAGTGAACATTACACTGTACACAGTGAACTTACATTTTCTTAGTGCTGGTTTGATCCTGCTCTGTCCTGCATGCTCCACCCTAAAACGACAAAAGAACATGGAACATCCCCAAATAAGTAACTTGTGACCACATTTGAATTTATAGAGAACTTAACTAGTTTAATAGCATGTACAGTGATTTTGAACTAAATTGGTTAGACATTAATATTCTAAAGTGTTTGAGAAACGTGCTGTTCACCTAATAGGATGTGTTACTTAATTAATACATTACTTGCATTTTTATGTGTTGTGGTGTCTACCCCATCATTGGTTGGTCGGCTATTATGCATATTGACTTCATAAGAAAAAAACAAGTATTTCCTGCAGTACACATTGATTTGCTGGCTAAAATATTGTCTCCAATACTGGTTTGCCAGTATTGTTAACTGACAGTAATTGACAAATTGATACAAATGACTGTCAAAGGGTCTATTCTAAATCACAGTAACAAGGTTGATGTGTTTAGATTGACAACTCTTTATTGTAATATTCAAAACAAAAATTGGATAGAAATTAAAAAAAGGGTTTTGACTTGAAGATTTTGTTTTTGACAGTATGTAGTTTGATCTGTCAACTTGTTTTAATTTAGCTTGTTGTAAAGTTGGTTAGAAATAATCTAAAAAGAATGTTAACAATACTTCTTGAAAAAAATGATTTTATGTTCTGATATAAAAAGTAAAAAACAAGGCCATATTTTAAAATAAAGTGAGTTGATTTAAAAATATATAATTCTTAGTCTTGTATCTAATTAATATGTAGCTCAGGTTAGTCATTCTGTAAGTAGTTTAGCTCAGTCTTTAAAATGTGATTTAAAATTTTGTGAGGAATTTTAAATCAAATAAAAAAAATACTAAAAAAGAATTTGAACAGGAAATGTACATGGTTGAATGAAGTATACAGATGTTCTTGCATCGTGCACTATTGGAAATCTATGTGGCATCCCAATGCAATGTTTAGAACTGCATATATATGAAATTCTATACATACCTAAGTGTTTCCAGTTTGTACTGTGAATCCTCCAGTTTAACAGAGAGTAGCTTTACTCCTGCATCTCCTGGATGATTGTAGGATAGAACCAGTTCTTTTAGGTATGAGGGGTTTACACTTAAAGCTGAAGCCAGAGTGATAAAACCTTCCTTGGTAACCAAACAACCAGACAATCTGCAGAGAGAAAAAAATAAGAAGGAGCTAGTCAAAGTGCGAAGGATGCAAGAAAGTGCAGTGATGTTCAAAAACAACAAGCACTAACTTATTATAACATGCTATACATGTCTTTCTAAGGTTTTGTATGGCTGGGGCTGCACTACATGATTTTTAGCCTGTTTATAACCCCAATTAACCCCTTTGGAAAAATTTGAATCTGAAATGATTTTCTGGGTCAGGAGCTCGATTGGACAGTAGTAATCTGGTAGTGTGAAACTGGAAATGAGTCACTCCTTAGCTTTCTGTCCAATCTCTGGAGTGATCAGTGGCCTTCCCATATTTTCAAACATTTGACTTTCATGACTCAAAATGTTCATGAGTTCTGTAGTGTGAGATGGTTAGTGATGTAACTCAACATGTGATTGAAGCAGCAACCAATAAAAACTAGAAGGGTGGAGAAAAAAGGCTTTGAGACACACAGGTAAAAATAAAGACTTGAACATACTGTTTTGTAGTATGTGACATCTTTTTCAAAATATTGGCAGCAATCAGTATTTGAATGAAAAGTAGGCAGGCAGCCTGGTGCAAATAAATGAAACAATTTATTAATAGAATTGACTTTGACTGTTTAATCATTGTGTGAGTATATGGATGAAGTGTATGTTGCATTTGAGTGTGTAAGAGTAAAGAACATTATACAAATTGCAAAAAAGTTTGCTCTGTATGTTACTAAGGTTATATGAATTCCAAAAGTGATATAATGCAGAGATAGTTAAGTTAGTAAAGGTAGTTGTCCTTGCCTTTCAAACAACTGTACTACCTTCATGAAGAAAGTTATCTAAAACATTGTAAATTTACCACCTGTTTTTAAGACTTTGAACACTTTCATAAATATGTGGCCAATTTATGATTCACAAATAAATTCAGTTTAGTTCATTTTTGATTAGAAAAAGATAAAATTTACTGCTTAATATTTACTGTTCATCAACTTATTTACAAGAAGCTCACCTGAGTATCTTCAGTTTACAGTGTGAATTCTTTAGTCCAATGGAAAGCAGCTCCACTCCTGAATCCTGCAGATCATTGTTACTGAGATCCAGCTCTTTCAAGGGGGAGGTTTCCATTTGTAAAACTAACCCCAAATTTTCACAAGACTTGTCCCTTAGGTTACACAGACTTAGTCTGCAAAGGGAAATTTGGTGGCAAAGATCTTACAAAATGGTTGAAGAAGGATTTTGTTAAATGTGTTCATCATGTTCTTAAACAACACAATCACAGTTATTTTACTCATCTGTAAATTGTCGGGGTTGTGAAAGTACACATGAAAGATAAAAATAATTTTAAAATGAAATAGTAAAACCATAAATAGTGACCTTTGTAGTGAACAGGGCTCAGTGTTCTCACCTCAGTATCTCTAGTTTACAATTTGGACTTTTCAATGCAGTACAGAGCAGCTCCACTCCTGAATCCTGAACATTGTTGTTACTGAGGTCAAGTTCTTTCAGGGGTAGGTTTGCAGATTGTAGAGCAGATGCTAGTTTTTCGCAGGAGTTGGCAGTAAGATTACAGCATGTTAATCTGCAAATAAGAATACATACACTACAAAATACAGTACCATTGGGGTAGTGAGGCTTGTAGAAAGTGATTGATAACTGATAGAAATTATTTATTATTCTATAATTCATTATTCATTTTTGTTTAAAATATGTAGAGACAAGTTATTTTTGCTTTAAAGATTTAGTGAATGTGTGTATGAATATAGGATATATGAGGGAAAATATTTGTAGTCTATAACATTTTTATAACTTTCAAAGGTGTTCAATGCTTTGGCAAGCAATATATAACATATAGCAAAAAAATTAACCTGCTGTCTGTTACATTTGCATGGCATTTTCCAATCAAGTACCTCACCTGAGTATGTCCAGTTTACAGTTTAAACTCTTCTGTCTGGTAGAGAGCAGCCTCACTCCTGAATCCTGCAGGTCATTGTAACTGAGGTCCAATTCTTTAATGGAAGAGTTTGCTGAATGTAGAGCTGATATTAATTTTTCGCACGAGTTCATTGTGAGATTACAGCCAGCTAGTCTGCAAATAAGGAGCAACTATAGTATAGTACACAGTTCATCATCATTATTCAGATAAACATTTCTGTGGAGAATGTGTGCTCTGAACCAAAGCAGAGGCAGGATCATATACCATCAAAAAATAAGAGTTCACTTGAGGTGTTCTTTTGAAAACAATCAAGGATATGTCAGCTTTTAATGATATCTGTATTACTAAGCAGTTTCTGGCAGAGCAGTAGTCATTTTATTGTTCAAGCAAATCACTCAATTAAAAATAGTTATTTATTCCTACAGCATTATACAGTAGTACAAGTTTTGCAAAGTCAAATTGGAGTTGATAGCCCAATTTTTTTTAACTCAGATCGACGACCATAGGTGGATCAATGCACAGGTTTATCTGACCAGACTTGTATGCAGGCTTAATACAGTTTTTGGAGGATGCAAGAATAAATACTAAGTTATGCTAATATATTCTAATTTATTTAAGTTACCATGTTTTAACACCTTTGTTATCCCAATATGCAGAGCACTGAAGCTACATGTGCCTTCAAGAGTGAAACCTCACCTCAATACCTCCAGTTTACAAGATGAATTCTTCAGTTTTAAAGAAAGCAGTTTTACTCCTGAATCTTGCAGATCATTGTTACAGAGGTCTAGCTCCTTTAGGAGGGAGTTTGCAGATTGTAGAATTGATGTTAGTTTTTCACAAGAGTGGGATGTGAGATTACAGCCAGCTAGCCTACAAAGAAGAAATAAATAAAATACAGAACAACAGTTCAATACAGTCAGAAAACAATTCTGCTAACAGTTTATGTTAAAGATCCCTTGCACACAAAAATGTGTTTTTTAAATGATTTTTATATGCAAGCTCATTCAGAGTGCAATTACGATTGGTAAGTGCTGTTTCATTGTGTTAATAAGATTAACACAACAAAGGCAAACTTATTTTTTTCAGTCACACTTTATTTTGATGGTGCCCTACAGATAATTTACAGATGCTTTATTTCTTATTAAACTATGTGGTGACACTCAGTTGATTATTATAGGTTTAGGATTATGTTTAGGATTATATTTAGGGTTGAATACAGTCTACTACACACAGTGAAAAGTCCAATTGCATTTAACAGATTAGTAAACTGAATAAATGTTATCTGAATGCTCATTAAAGACAGGCTGAGCATCTACTAAACACGTGCACTCTCAAAATTAAGTATTACCCAAGTCCCCAGCAGCAAACAAAAGGTATCCATTGTATGCATTATAATATACTCTGTCTTTGAAATGTGCGAATTATGCCTTATCTCAGACTTCACAGGGTTTTTCTTTGCAAAGGATTTGTCAGTAACTGCAATTTTATGCACTAATTCACCTGCTATAAATGCCATTAAGCAAATAATGGGAAAATGAATTCAGATCACCATTAGCTTGGTGCTAACATACCATTGCAAATTCCATAGCTACTGGAAATTAACATTATCATAGTGGTGGTAAAAATGTATGAAATGTTTAAATATATTCAAATAGCGGAGCATCAGTGCTGTTGATGCTGTCCTTAATTAAAACAAAATGAGATCACAATAATAATGCAATTATGTAGCCCTAATACCCATATATGAAAGAATTTTGTTTTATGTTTACATTATTATTTCAAGGCTTTCCACATAACACTCAATATTTAAATTCTTCTGTAATCTCACCTGAGTACCTCCAGTTTACAGGGTGAACTCTTCAGTTCAGCAGATAGTATCTTCACACCAGTATCCTGCACTTCATTGTAACTTAGGTCCAGTACTTTCAGTGAGGAATCAGCTAATTTTAAAGCTGAGCTGAGTTTTTCACAGGAGGTTGCAGTAAGATCACAGCCAGCTAGTCTGCAAAGGAAAAATAATAGTACAGAATTTAAACATTGTGTTTTGGAATCAAGTCTCACAATAATTTGTTGAGACTTATTGAGCGAGTCTAATAAACTATTCAAATAAATATTTATGTAATTCATATGTTCTCTTAGTAGAGTAGGTATTAAACAATAAGAAGAAGAAATTTATATTGTTCTGAAAGATAAAATTACTTCTATGTCTGAATGAGCATCAGCAGTTTTGTTATTATCTGTAAAATGTATGTACTTAACTTTATTCCAATTAAAACTGATACCTATCTTGTTATGTATTTATGGTCATAATGTCATGTTCAAAAAGACTGAAGAACAATTACTGGTTTGATGATTCAGATATTGAACTCACATCTATGATATACACAGTTCCTTGTGTTTATCACTAGAACTCTCACCTGAGTATCTCTAGTTTACTGTGTGAACACTTCAGTCCAGCAGAGAGTAACTCCACTCCAGAATCCTGCAGGCTGTTGTTACTGAGGTCCAGTTCTAGCAGTGGGGAGCCTGCTGTTTGTAGAGCTGACTTTAGTTCTTCACAGGAGTTTGTAGTAAGACTACACCCAGTTAGTCTGAAAAGGAGAATACAAAATTTAATACAGTTTAATCAATAAGTGTGAAACCTTGCAGAAATGTTTTGATGACACTGATACCAATCAGTCCAAATTTGTTTGATTCAGGACAGATTTTAAAGTTCTATTACTATTTTTAAGGTTCTAAATAATCTTGCACCTTACCTCACAGAATATATCTGTTTGTATTCCAATATATGATCGTAGATCTGCAGATACTGGCCATCTGCAAATAACTTTTGTAAAATACAGAAAATAAGGGGAGGCTTCTTTCTTTTATTATGCTTCTAAACTGTGGAACTCAGTTCCACCTTTTATTAGACAGTCAAGCTTTTTAAAAAAAAGTTTAAAAACACTTCTCTTTAATTTAGCATTTAATTAAAATTCTAACTCTCTTTTGGTATTTATCTTTTTAATTTGATCTATGTCACTGCTGGGCGCAGTGGGTAGCGCTGTTGCCTCACAGCGAGAATGGCCTGGGTTCAATTCCCGGCTGTGCGATCGGGGTCATTTCTGTGTGGAGTTTGCATGTTCTCCCCGTGTCTGTGTGGGTTTCCTCCAGGTACCCCGGTTTCCTCCCACAGTCCAAAGACATGCAGTCAGGCTTTTTTTTATATATATTTCTTTTTCTATTACTCTTAAGCTTTACCACCTGTCTGTAATGCACTTTAAGCTGCCACCAATATGAAAAGTGCTCTATAAATAAAAGTATTATTATTAGTAGTATTAGTATTATTATTAACTATTCATATTTTTTAGTTTGAGCCTCTCAGCCAAAGTACAGTCACTAACAATTTTACAAATACCAGCATTGAGAAGAAGAAATTAGGTTTTTTTTTGAGCTGTTGATTCCAGCCTGTTACAGTGAGTGTTGGAAGGCCCTAAATGAAGCTTATCAGCATAGCCACTGCTCACTTGCCGTTGTTAAAAGTAAATTGTGATAGCAAAAATTTGACCCAACCAGGAGATACAAGACTACATATACTGCAAATAACATGAGAATGTACAGAACTACACATAGCACGTATGCTATATATGAAAATATTCTCTTTTTAGGTCAGCAGACAGATAACAAACTAATCATCTCCTCTGATACTATTCAGCTACCATACAATGTGAATATACACCACTGATAGCTTCAGTATGTTACAGCTGCTTCCTGAAGCGCTGTGGTACCTTTTATGGAGTGTAACTTGTCATGTTGAGAGGAATGCCCTTTGCTGTTTTGATTGCCTCTTTCTCTTTTAATTTATAATAATGGAGAGTAGCAGATTTTTAAAAAAAACCTAATGTGTCCTATTTGCACCAGTTGGATCTACTTATATAACTATTTAGAGAAAATAAGATATTATTTTGACATAAAAAATCAGACAATAAGTGATTATTTTGACTTTCTGTTTCAAATAACATTTTTTAGACAGAATCTCCTCTTAAGACACTTTGATGAGTGTAAAATATACCCACAATATTAAGAAATACCCTTTAAAACACTCTTTAAAACATTTTAGTTTAGGTTTGTTATTTTCTTCATTAATTATAATATCACATGGAGGGCATTCACAATTTTATCAAAGTCAAACATAAATAAATGTGCTTTAACTCTCTTATTTTTCTGTCTCAATGGCACCCATATTAATGGCAAAAATAAGACAAGCTTTTCATATGAATTTCTGATGATGCAAAACATAAATCTGCTCCTCTGTAACTCAAATTTTCACATCTTCCTCATTGCCTGTTGCGTGGCATTGTGCTTAAACTGTTGTGATTGAACTAAAAGTTAAATTAGGGGGAAAAATTATTGTCCCTGAAATGATATAATTTTAATTGATATACCATCTTCCATTTATTATTAGCTATATTAGCATATTTAGTTGCAATATTCCTAGATGCATTTTGATAAAAGATTCAAAGGTCCATGGTTTCAGTAGGTGTTTTAAATAGCAGTCTGTCAACATAAAAAGCCTCAGAGGTTTACAATTCAAACAATTCAAACATCAAATTCACCTGAAACCTCACCTGAGTGTCTCCAGTTTACAATGTGCACTCCTCAGTCCGGCAGAGAGAAGTTCCACCCCTGAATGATGCAGGTTATTGTTGCTTATGTGCAGTTCTTTCATTGGGGTGTTTGTTGATTGCAGAACTGATGCTAGTTTTTCATAGGAGTTTGTGGTGAGATTACAGCCAGCTAGTCTGCAAAGAAAAAGTAAATACAGCACAGACAACATTTTTTGTGTGTGATGGAACCTTACAGAATGGTTTAATGAGAAAAATGTCAGTGTGTCTGAATATGAACTTTTGAATTAATTATTTCTGTGTGAGAACATGCCACTTCGGCCACAACAGAGTTACTATCTACAATACAGGTATAAACATATATTTCCACAGCATGTTTGAAATTCTATCATTCTTGCTACCATAAAACCACTCCATTCCTACCTGTACAAGGACAAGGACAAACAGCGTCTCTGATGTGTAGTACTACTAATATAAAGCACATAAAATCTGATTGATAGAACCCCTTGGAGAGAATTTATTACTGAATTGAGTAAAGAAAACTTGAAATATATCCAACATTTTGCTAAAATAAACCTACTCATTGTGTTCATGAACCTGGTAATTCTTGATTTAGTTACAATGTAATTTAGTATACAAAGCAGTGAATGTGTTGGTCTCTGGTAATTAACTGTTATTTATATATATATTAATAAATTAATATAAAACATCATTTTTATGCTAAAGGTACAGTTTGAATACTATTAGCATATTTTTGTTTCATACATGAAACTGTTTTATGTTTTAGTTTTTCAAGTTAGCCTGAAATACTGCAATAATAGTAAACAATTATGTGTGACCAGCCTCTAAACAGATTCTATTTAAACTGGCACAACGATGCAAAATCAATGAAATCCCTTGAAATGGGTGATCCAGGTCATTTTGAACTAATCTGACTGGTACTTAAGGAGTAGTCAGTTCTTTTTTGCTCTTTGATATAAATGTTCTGTTAGTGCTATCATCAACTCATAACAAAACACAAACATCAACGTAGATGTTTTGAGTAAGCAATTCATGTGCATTCATGACACATATCTTTTTCCACAAAAGATTTAAATGGCCATGCATGTAATTTGAATTGTCATTACTTTAAATATTTAATGACATTAATTGATAAGAATAAATATTTTGAGTTGCATCAACAGATAATACTTGTGTTACCTTCTTCAATAATTTAGGTATTGTGCAACAAAGGGCTAGTTAATCAATATAGTTTTACTCAGATGAGAACAGACAACATATAATTATCTGTATGCTATGTTTACGTCCATAAACCATTTCAAAATATCATGAAACATTTTAGTGGTGCATTTTAAATCACATTTGTCTAAAACATCTATGCCTAAATCTCTCCACAAGGGGATATTCACGTAGATTTTTATGCTTCAGGAGTAAACTGAAGCATAAAGGAAACTGAAGGAGTAAACTGGCAAAAGCCTTTTTTGTTCTATTATTTTATTTTATTTATTTAGCCTTCTTGTATTCTGTTATCTTCTAACTCTGTGTGTTTGAAACATGCAGGAACAGTTTCAGAGGTTAAGCAGGTATTGTATCTGCCTAAAACAATTATAGGGTCTATTATGTCAAATTTCACCAAACAGTAGGGAAGGGATAATGTCACAAGAAAGTGTAGTGTGCTTCAAATGGGATACATTTCATTTTAAAAATAGAAGGAACCTCCAGGTAAGATGAGAGAAAATTAACAGATAGTGGGAAATTAAGAGATAATTAACTGCATTCTTGTCTTCATTATACATTAACAAAGACATATACCGAGGAGTATTATGAAGGTGAAACAAATGCCCTTAAACTACCACTGATTTTTAGAAAATTGATTCAAATTTACAACCATTCTAAATCATTACCCTAAACATGTGCTATGTCATCTATAATTTAAATAATAAACTGTGCTGTAAAATATATACAAATGAAAATACTTACACAACTTTTCTAGATGCTTTTACTACTGGCAGAAGCATCAAAAAACATTCCTCTGATGGGTCATATTTGCTCAGATCAAACACATCTAGCTCTTCCACTGAGTTCAGCAACACAAACACCAGAGCTGACCACTGAGCAGGAGAGAGCCTGACATCATGGAGGCGATGGCTACCATCTCTGTGAAGGTATTCTTGCACATCCTGCACTAGAGATTGATCATTTAGTTCATTCAAACAGTGAAACAAATTGATGGATTTCTCTGGAGATGCAGTCTCCTTGATCTTGTCCTTGATGTATGTGATTGTTTCTTTTTTGCTGTGACTGCTGCTGCCTGTGTTTGCCAGTACGCCTCGTAAGAGAGTCTGATTGGACTCCAGCGACAGACCCAGAAGAAAACGGAGGAAAAGGTCCAGGTGCCCGTTCTCACTTCCTAAGGCCTTGTTAACTGCACTGTTGAGGAAGCCAGTGATTGTTGACTGGCTGAAAAGCTCAGAAAGTTCAGTGTTTTGCTTAGAGAGTTCGGTGGTCAAATGGTTTTTGCTGATGAAGCACAGAAATGCATACAAAGCAGCAAGGAACTCCTGAATGCTTAGATGTACAAAGCTAAACACCTTTCCCAGGTGCACACCAAATTCTTCTTTGAAGATTTGGGTGCATACCCCTGAGTACACTGTTGCTTCTCGGATACTAATACCACACTCTTGCAGGTCTTCCTCATAGAAGATCAAGTTCCCTTTTTCAAGCTGTTGGAAAGCCAATTTTCCTAGCGCAAGAACAGTTTCTTTAGTCTGCTGAGGATCAATCTCACTTTTTCCACTGTACTTCTGGGTGTTGTGTTTGATCTGAAAGATGAGGAAGTGTGAGAACATTTGGGTCAGTGTTTTGGGGATCTCCTCGCTCTCCGCTTGACCCAACATTCTCTCTAAAACAGTGGATGCAATCCAACAGAAGACAGGTATGTGGCACATGATGTAGAGGCTTCTTGATAACCTGACATGTGTGATAATTTTGCTAGCCAGGCTCTGATCATTAATTCTCTTCCTGAAGTACTCCTGTTTCTGTGGGTCGCTAAAGCCTCGGACTTCTGTTAGCCTGTCAGCATATTCAGGAGGGATCTGATTGGCTGCTGCTGGTCGAGATGTTATCCAGATGAGAGAAGAGGGGAATAGATTCCCTTTGATGAGATTTGTCAGCAACTCATCAACTGTGGATGGCTCTTCTACATCCCCCAAGCTCTCATTGTTCTGAAAATCTAGAGGTAGCCGACACTCATCCAGACCATCAAATATGAACATGATTTTGTAGTGTCTATAGTGCTTTGGATTTAATTTGTGTGTTTCTGGGAAAAAGCAATGAAGAAGACTAATGAGACTGAGTTTTTTATTTTTCAGCATATTCAGTTCTCTGAAAGGAAGTGGAAACATGAAGATGACATCCTGATTTGCTTTTCCGTCAGCCCAATCCAAAATAAACTTATGTACAGAGACAGTTTTTCCAATTCCAGCAACTCCTTTTGTGAGTACTATTCTGATGGGCTTCTCCTGCTCTGATAAAGGTTTAAAGATATCACTGCATTTGATGGGTGTCTCCTCTGTTGCCATTTTCCGGGATGCTGTTTCAATCTGTCTCACCTCATGCTCCTGGTTGACATCACCACTCATGCCTTCTGTAATGTATAGCTCTGTGTAGATCTCATTCAGAAGTGCTGAGTTTCCTTCAGTTGAAATCCCTTCATTAATATTCTGACATTTATCCTTCAGTTTTAATTTGAGCTTTTGTTGACAAGGAGGGGTCAGTTCTGATAAAAAAAGAAAGACAATAGCAACACATTAAGCACTTTGACCATACAAAGGTCAACAACCATGTGTGTCTTCTCTAATAATAAACTGATACAATAGGCCGGAGACCTGGAGCTCTTACTGGTTTCTAATGTGTCAGCGAGATCCGCCAGGTTCATGTTCTTCAGGACATACAGAGTGAGCTTTAAGGCCCCCCTTCTGCCACTGCGCTGATCCTCTTCATCTTCCACCTCTCTCTCAAAGCATGCTGAGTAATCTGGATGAAGTAGTTTCTTAAATTTTTTCAGCTCATCCTTCACTATATAAATTATTTTCTGCTCCACTTCCTGATTAGGAGCACACAATAATAGAAAATCATTAAGAGAATAACGATATAGTGAGAGATCGATTATATTTCATAAACATAACACGTAGGAGGAATTGTTGGAACTTGTTGGCATTGTGATGTATAAAAAGCCATTACCATCATGTTACTGAACTGCATTTCAATATATCAGTCTTACTAGTATTACTTACTAGTACAGTAATAAGTGAATGTGAATAGAACATGATTGGCAAAATTTAAAAGAGATACAAAAGACAGTAATATCACAGAGCCTTATAAGTAGCAAATGGCCATCTCACCAACACATTCACAGAAACACACACACACACATACAAAATACACACAAACAAACCAACTAACCTTGAATATATTTTCCAGCTTTTTCTTTGAAATGTTTTCAGTCTTCTTTTGTGCACTGAAGACAAAGATAACACTGGCTTTTAAAAAAATATAGGTCATGTTTTTGTATATACAGACCATTCTAAACTCAGACCCACAGAAAAAAAAATATTTCAAAAATATTATTAAATATTCAGACCTTTACATTTACAATAGTTACATGACTTTTTATGATCTATTCAAACCCAAGGCATTAAATAAGATAGTAATATCTTAAATATATACAAAATATTAATTTAAAAGGTTCATCTAATGTCTGTTCCAAACCCCAACCCCTACATTTCAACTTAACAACAGTCTTAGAACTTTTTTGAAAGTCTTTTAATGTGAAACAATGATTTAAATTTATCTAGATTAGAGTTTAATTACAAAAAAAATGCTGTCTCAAGTTTTCATGTCGCTACCAAAACAAAGAGTTTTAGTACATAAATGGAGCCTTATTTTAGTCACTCCCTAGATCAGGAAACAAGACTGCATCCTTTTCCCTCATTGCCACATGGCTAGATCCCATTGTTTTGAAGTAATTTTGAAAATCAGTGTATAACCTTAAGAACAATCATGAGCAAAACATATATTTTCCAGGCGTAAGTAACCATTTTTCATAATTTTAATGAAAAATACTCAACTGTGCCACCGTACAAATCTGCATTTGCCAGCTATATCTTGGCTAGAGCTTTTCTGATCAAAATGAGCTAAAATTCTTTTTTGCTTATTATGTAAATTTTTGCTTATTACTGATGCAACTAAAGCCTTTTCATAATTTCAATACGCATAAGTCATAAAACACTTTTTGGGGTGCTAAACAAAATGTGAAATTGTTCGAACAATGAGCCTCTGTGGGCCTACTGCATGAATATATGCCATAAAGTCATGATGTTACCATGTTTAACTGATTTTCAGTCATGTAACAATAGCAAATAGTTATAATTCTTCATAAAAATCATCACACACTATGATATTTGGGTTTGTGGTAGACTTGTATGTACATATTGACTCTGCAGAATGCAAAGAATAATTTAACCACTGTTTTTGGGAAATAAGCCTACGTCTGCTTATGTTTTCTCTAATCACACTTTTCACAATTTTTCACTGCTATGTTTTAAGTTTTAAAATAATGAGAAATTTGTGAAATAATCAAATAATTCCAAATAGTGAGATAATAAAGTTACCACATTAAAATAATAAAACACTAAGTTGACATGATGTGGGATACAAGAGACAGAAAAAGAGAAAGTCTTTAGGATAAAACTCTATGTGGTTGTGATGAGTCTCTTTCTATTTTTCACTAAAATGAAAACACACCAGTGGGAAATCTCTCTGTTTGGGTATGAAATTGTATGACGATATTTACATTAACCTTTGCGCAGTGTTCAGGTCTGTGGGACCCATTTTCAATGTTTACCAAAAAAAAAAAAAGAAATTACGGTTTATTAATATTTCAACCTCAGATTCCTTTGCCATTGCTCATTTTCTGTAAAGAACATATAAAATAGCACATTTTGAATGACTTCACCCCCTACACATTTATATTACACATGTGGTGTTGGCTAAACCCGCGGGGAGTAAAAGTGTGAAGGTGCTGTGTCCCTTCACTCTGTTCTCCTCCTACATGGCCTGCTGTTAGTATGTGTATGTGTTTGTATGTGTGTGCATGTGTGTGTGAGGGTGGACAACATGGAAAGGCTGCTGACTGGCTACAGCTGCTAAAGGAGGACCCTATGCTGGCCACTTTTATTTTAAACATCAGGTGTATGGCTGTATTGATTTTCAAAACCAATAACGCTGTTCACTAGACCCACTGAGTAACAAATACATGAACACCACACAAGTGTTCAGATAATGTATTCACAATATATATGGGTATATGGACAGATGTACCATGCATTGGAGGTTCCTTCTCCACTGATGATTGTAGGAGGCTCCCACATGGACCTGTCAATCTTCATACGGGCTGGTGATTTTGATTTCTTTATCCTGAGAACCATGGTGAGTAAGATGTAGCGTAAGACTTTCTTTAATATAAATTATTTAACCTGAGTAAAACTATATTAACAATATTCCTTTTTCCTCATTCTCTGTTTCAATTTTTTTACTTAACATTTCTCCTAAATTACAACACATATGTGGGAAATCCCTTGTTTGTTCTCCTGTTATCAATTATTCCAGTATTCACATAGTAGGAAAAACTATATAATGTGATGTGTAACATCTACCAAATTTAATGAACACAATTCAGGAATACCTTTTTGAACGCTGATTCTCAGAATAGTTGTTTACCACTTTCTGACATACCGTGAAGTAGAGGTTCCTTTTGCACTGCTGATTGTAGGAGGCCCCCACATGGACCCATCTGTCTTCATAGAAATACAGCTGGGGGCCTGGGTTGGTACTGTCTTTATCCTGAAAGCCATGATGAGAACCTAGCATTGAGTGTTACTTCCCTCTAATATACCTCATTTAGCCTGTGCATACGTGACAAACAATATTTCCTCTTCCTTTTTCCTCATGCTGTGTGTATGTGTGTGTATGTACTCCACAATTTTTTTTCAACGCAATGCCATAGAAGAACTATTTTGGGTTCCCTAGAGAACCATGTTTGAGAAAAAAAGTTTGGGTGGCACCTAACAGACTGTAAAAAACAGCAACTTATGATCATCAAATTATTATCAAGTAATTTGGTAATAACTGGTAAAAATAATAATAAAATAATTATATACGCATTAATAAATGGTACTATTGAAATTATTTACATGGTGGCATACAAATATTCAAACATTCTTTTGACTTGTAGAAACCATATCAGTTTTAATGAATTTATTTATTTAACTTCAAAAGTTAAGCATTTAAGCATAAAATTACTATCTTGGGACTTTGTTGATGAATATACTTTTCTTTAATTCTTTGTTAAGCATTAAGTGGTTGGTATACTTTTTTAAACATTAATAATCATTCTTTTGACCCTTTACACTTAAATATTATACTATGAAACAATGAAGTAAATGGTTAATATATCAAATAATTGCATGTCCAAGTTTTACATGTAACAGTTATATAATTATTAAACTATCATTTACAAATTATTTAATAATGATTAAGTTTCAGTTTATAGGGGCATGTTATAATAAAGTGTTACCAATATTTCAGATTGTGAAGAACCATTTAAAGGTTTAAAGAACTTTCACACAATGCAAAGGTTCTATACTAATTATGAGGTTCTTCAAACTTTAAAAAGTTTACTCACACACACATTTGAATTTAAAAAATGGTTCTTTAAAGGACCATCCATTTTACGGTTCTAAAGGGATTTGAAAGTGGAATTTCTAAGGCATCATGCAAAAGATCAGGTTTGACACTATTATTTTCAAGAGTGTAGTATTAAGATAGTGTTTTCAGAGAGGTACCGTAAAGAAGAGTCTCCTTTTCCAATGCTGATTGTAGGAGGCTCCCACATGGGCTCGTCATTTTTCATAGACACACAGCTAGCCACTGGAGATGCTGATCTCTTTACTCTGGGGACCCTGATGAGTAAGGCTTTGAGTAATTATGTCTAAAACTCATTTAACCTATGCATAAGTTACATTACATTACAATTTTTATTTTATAATATTTATAAAAAAAAATAGTTTTTTTTCCTCACATTGTGTGATGCAATACTTGGCTTGGTATATTATCTGGTTTCATGTAATACTTCAGTATGTGAAATCAAGTGTGTTAGTCATGGAATTGAATAAATTCATGCAATGACTGAGAGCTTAAGGTGCTGTCTGGAACCAAACTTTGTTTTTTTTCATTCTAGCCGCTGAGACATGACAAACTACTTGTATTTTTTAACAGTGTGAATGTTTATTAGCATGAATTCTAATGACAAACAGTGTTAAGCAAAAACACCCTTATTGCTGAGATGAATGATTGTAATAATGTACTTAGGTATATGTATATATGTATATATATACCTCAAAGTAGAGGCTCCACTTCCACTACTGATTGTTGGAGGCCTGAGAATATGAGAGTATGTAAATGACAAACAATATTTTCTGTTCCTGTTTCAGAATTCTGAGTGGGTTTTATCATTACAGTTGAATCTTACGGCCAATAAATTATTTCACTTACTCTTCTGAGGGCACAGAGTCAATGCTGATTGTAGGATGTTCACACATGGATTCATCAGTTTTCATCAAAAGTCGGGGTGCTGGAGATGGTGCCCTCTTTAACCTGAGAACCATAATGAGTGCAAGTTTGAGCAGTTACAGAAACAATATTTGCTCTTTTTCTCTTTCCTTTCCTTGTACTAACTGCTGATGTAAAGATACTGACTTTGTTTCAGAGGTTTCTTCTCTACTGCTGGAGTATCGAGGATCCATCATGGAGTTATTACCCCTTGTCCACACACAGCTGGACACTGGAGATCCGCTGCCTGTGAACAGTTCATCAACAAAAACATGCATTACATGTTGACAGTTCTTAAGCCACTGAGGTTTAATAAAGT